AGATAGCTTGCTACAGAGAGAGAGAGAGAGAGAGAGAGAGAGAAGGAGAGACAGGCCAAGAAAGTAGGCCAGCGGACAGCAAAACTGGAGGACCGAGAAGACAGACACCTACACAAAGCACCACTTCATTTATCAGCACTACCGATTACACTCACTCTCGTACCTTCAACGCCCTTAAACCGTAGATAGTTAAAATATTTACTTCTCTTTTCTCCTCTAGATCCGATTTCATGCTTCTAGAGTTTTTAACTCACAACTTATTATCCAACATGTGTTTTAGAATTATACGTTTGTTAAAGAAAACATGTTGAGTTTCGTGTATTCTTGTCAAGGTGCATAGTATACCGACCAATGCGTATTGCTCTATACAGTTGTGGCATTGGTTTATAACAATCTGGCTAGCAATAAATTCATGAATATATTGATAAACTCATTCATTCGTTCATTCATTCGTTCATTCATTCATTTATTCATTCATTTATTCATTCATTCATTCATCCATCCCCCTGCTCTAGTTGTAGATCCACTACATTGCATTTGCATAACTCCTTTTTCCCCCTCTACGAAATAATACACGAGCAAGAATTATGCAGGAACGAGCACGTCGTCCCAGGAGGCCATCGCTCTCTTATGTTGACCGACGTCACGTGACAGGGCATGTAAGGCTCTCTGGCCGGACGTGACGCGCTCTCTAGGGGCTGTGTCACGTGATTTCATGGACACGAAGCGGACTTGGTGTCGAAAGCACAACAAAAACCGTCTTCCAGACTATTATTTGATTATTACAGATTTAACTACAATGCTATCGACATCACTAGAGATCAATTTGGAAAACCTCGTTCACATTGTAATAATATAAACAGCATCTATAAGAACATCGACAATAAGAGCAGCTGTAAAATAAGAAATAAAGAATCTAACCATGACTTTCCGGAGACACAGATGGCATGTCTTGTTTATTTGCACTTTTATCGAATAAAATGCATCATGTTTTAACGTTTCCATGGCGTCCGAGTCTTGTCGACGAGGCTCAGTTCAAATAATCATACACAAAGTCGTCTGTTTTCTTACAAGAGACTGGATTTGTCGTCAATACGTTGTTTTCTGTGATTGGCAATTACAAATTGCTGTTATCAAGATTTCGAAATCTTTATTGCCCGAACACATTATGTGATGAGTTACAGAGACGATCATTAATTGATCTTTTTATGTATTTACGTAATATATTTACTATAGTTTATGTATCTGTTTACGTATTGTAAAGTATACTGGTTAACATATGGTTAACATGTCTTGTATTTCCTAGGCTAATAAAGTAAAGAGATCCCATGCCATTCCGCTGCGAGCAGATTTCCTTGTTTCATTTTTTAAACAGTTGGCAGCAGATTCTAAACGTTCAGGAAGTTCATTCAATCGGCTGTATTTAACTCTTCTCTTTTTTCGCTTTTTCCCAGTTTATTTCGAGCAGCTTGTGCACTTTCCTCTTCCCTCCTTTCGCCCCAGTCTTCTATCGACCACTTGGAATCCTTTTCTGTCTCTTGAGCCGTCATTCCTCGTGCGTTTGACCTTCTGTTTTCTTTCTTTTCAGTTCCGTTGTCCATATGTTTTGTATGTGTGTGTAGGGCTTGGG